TGCTAAATGACTTTATAAAATTAATTAACACAAATTAATAATTTAAATATAACAAATTTATTATTATGTTAGATATAAATAATTTAAAGTAAGTGTTTCTCAAAGTGTGTWTTATAAAAATTTGGTCGTAAAGTGCTATATAATATTCTTGGGCAAAAATGGAAAGTAGTCTTAAAATATTTGGGCGAAAAGCGAAGGGTCATTTTTGGGTCTTGCCCGTAGGAAACTAAACCTTTTTGTAATTATATTTTACACATTATATTAGAAAAGTATATCGTAGGTAGGAAGTGTACTGACCTCGTGGTAGTTATAGGTTTATATAATTGAGGAATCATAAATAGGTATAAGTATATAAAATATAAATATAATGTGTTAAATAGGTAGACACTTAACTCAAATATATTAAATTTAAACCAATGGTTTTCTAGGGCCCGAAATTATTATGATGAAAATAAACGAAATAATAAGGATTAATTCACTGAATGATTTAAGTGCTTTGAAAATTTGGTTAAGTAGAATTAGCAAAGAACCTTATAATTTATTAAAGAGAACTTACCTAGTTATGGAATTATAAGTACCTATTATACCTAGCTATCTAATTCTATATATTTGAATAAATAAATTATCATCTATAAAGTAATTTAAATAATTTTGTGTATTGTGTATAATTCGTTTGCTTTAGGTAGTAAAATTATAACTATCCAAAACCAAATAATATTACTTTGTGATGATTTTTAATGTTAGAACTTACCTTACATATACTAAAGTGTTGCTGTTCGAACACGGACGCGTTTTCGCGCCACTGTTGCTTCGGCATAAATCCCCAAAGCTGCGCCTCGGATACCGAAGCTCACGAGGTGGCTTACCCMCTCCTCGGCAGTCCAGGGGGTCTATTCTCGAAAACTACGTAACGAAAATTGACGAACAAACTGTACGTAATCCGCCATTTTTACGTAATGTTTCAAAATGTCGTACTCTCGAAACTTGTCGAACGAAACGTATACGTAAATATTCGTAATCTACGTTCGTCAACCTCTGTACGTAACGAATTGATCATTTCGTATTCATTTTCATACGATTTATTATCTTAACTATTGATATCATTTTTATTAATTACCCTTATGTGTAATTTACGTTTATGAAAKTTTTTATTTCAATATTAAAAATTACTAACTATTTAAATCGAAACATAAACTGTATTCCTTAAGTATATTACTTTATTATATTGTTCTTAAATAATTTAATATACGATATTACAATTTATTATTTTCGGGAATTTAGAAAAATAGCTCTTGAAGAAATTGCGCACTTAGAAGTCTTGAGAGCTTTAGAAGAAGCAGAAATTAGAGCTGTAGGGAATCGGCCTAGGCAATATTATAATGCCCAAAATGTTATAGAAGGTTGGTTTGTGCAATAATTTATAATGTTAATGTTTAACAACCTATAGTATTTATAGCATTCTTAGTTCATATCTWYTATTATAAGAGGACGCTACATCCGCATGTGTTGTCTCCGTCTTACAATTGCGTAGCAAATTTTACGCTCAGCAGATCACGTTTACCTCCATTAATTTAAAATTTAGAGTGAATTAACCTCTTATGAAAATTAAAGGTAACATTATTTTATTATATTTTAGTTATAAAGCGAGTTACGTGTATTTTAAAATTGTAAATTGTTTATATATCTTAAAATACTCATAACTCACTTTAAAATTAAAATATAATAAAATCCTATGAGAAGCCCTCGATAATATTGTTACCTTTAATTATTATAAAAGGTTAATTCACTCTAAATTTAAACTAACGGAGCTAAACGTGATCTGCTAAGCGTAAAATTTGTTATGTACACACGCGGGTATAGCGTCCTCTTAACTGCATTGTACTCATTATAATTTCTTATATTTTTAGAACTATCTGATCATCAGTTTCTGAAAAAATTTAGGCTTACTAAGGAATTGGTTCAGGAGTTACAAAATGTATTAACACCGTACATGATTGAACCAAGTAGATTATCTTTAATCTCAATTAAGATAAAAGTCAAGTCATAATTAATAATAATTAATAATGATAAAATATTGTGAATTATGTTGTTAATCATTATTAGGTTTTGACAGCTTTGCGATTCTTTGCTAGTGGCTCGTATCAACTTGATATTGGTGACAATAGATCATCAGCATTAAGTCAGTCATCTGTGAACAGATGTATCGCTGAAGTATCAAATGCTCTAAATCAACTGGAAATTATTAAACGATATATAAGCTTCCCTGATAGTTTTAAAAAATTTAATGCAGTGCGTAGAGGGTAAACAATTTTTTTTACTCATACCTGAATAAATCTTTATGGACTTATGGTACCTAAACTATATGTAGTAAAAAATAATATATTTTTACATAAATTGAACCTTGTATGATTTTCAAATTTCTATATTTGTTAACATAAGCAGATTTCTTGATAAAAAAGGAGTGCCTGGGGTCATAATAGGGACTATAGACTGTACACATGTTGCCATATTCCCACCTCCTTCAGAAGTATTATATCCTGAACACATTTATGTGAACCGCAAGGGTTACCACAGCATTAATACACAATTAGTAAGTTATTAAGGAACATAACATAAGTAGTATAATTTATTTATCAGTGTGTACTTTTTATTGAATATAAGTAGAAGTGTAGAACCATATCGACATATCGTACCTAGAACTTTAAAATTTAGTTTAATTGATAATGTAATAAATAGATTCAATTTAAGTTATAATAAGTTCGATATTAGCTATTGACCAAAACAAAAAAGCCATTGTCCATTTAATTTTAATATCATGGTTCTGTTATTGACTAAAGATTTGTGACTCTGGTGCAATAATAATGAATGTTAATGCTAAATATCCTGGTAGCAATAATGATTCATTTAAATGGGTGGCTAAGTATGATATCTACTTACATGGAAAATTTACATGAGAATGGAAATACTTCATATTTTTTATTAGGTAGGAATGATAATTTTTATGTTTACAAAATCTTCAATAATATTACTGTAGTTAATAAATATTTTGTAATTAGAAAATAATTSTGGATCTTTTAATCATAGTATACTTGTTATTAGAAGTTTCAGGATACCCACTTAGACCTTGGCTCCTAACACCATTAAGTGATCCTATTCCTGATACACCTGATTCTTCATTTAATAAGTGGTTGACTAGTACACGATTGACCATTGAAAGATGTAATGGGATCTTAAAAATGAGATTTAGGTATTCAAAATTAAACTGATAATAATAACCATTTATTAGAATAATTGTTAAATATTAAAAATGTTTTTATTAGATGTTTATTAAGTTTTGCACTATAATCCAAAACGAGCTTCAAAAATCATAGTGTCATGTTTTATTTTTCATAATATCTGTATCAATGTAAATTTGCCCGTTCCTCAGAGAGAACCAGATGATCCTCTAGAAGTCTAGACATTGATTTTGGTATATATGGTGTCCTTGTTCCCGAATTMAATCCTACAGTTAATCCTCAACTTGCTGCAGGTCGAAGAGTACAGCAACTACTCATTAGATCATATTTTACTTGATTTAAAATTCTTTTTTTTTAGTCATAATTTTATATTAAAATATAAAAAAATTAATATTACTACAATAAACCAACATTAAGTTCTAAAACATTTATAGTTATATGTGAATTATTATTAGTTTTAGAACAGTTAATAATAATAATAATTAAAAAAATATTCATTCACTTATGTATTTAATACCTAGCAAGGATTAGCAGAGACAAAAGTTTTCAACTTGTTGTCTTAATAGTTAAAAATCAATGCATCATTTAGATGATATCAAAAGTTTAAACTTAAAAATCTAAATCACAACACAATTAATACATCCATCCAAGAAATTTACCCATTTCAACTGAATTTATTTTGTTAATTATGTATACCTATACATGATACAGTATACACTTTACATTATATATAACATTAATATACAACATATATATTAACATACATGCAACATGCAACATTAATTTAACAAAAAGTGTAAGTCATTTATGTTTTATACTTAGCTGCAATACTTTCTGCAACCAAAGCTAAGGCATTACCTTTTTTTTCTTTGGCCACAGTCTGTCTTTCCAAAAGCAGTAATTTTTGTTTGAAAAAATTAGCTTTCAATTTTGTTCTTTCCGAACTAATTGAAGCTAAGGAACGCGATGCTTCCACTGTATGGAAAAAAGTATTTTTCTTTTTCCCTAAATTCTTTCTAGAATTGCTCCTAATAAAAGTTATAATATAGTCATATAGATATATAATAGATACATTGACTCTAATATTAACACAAAATTTGTTCTGTCAAATGTAAATTTACAGTGCTCTATATATTAAACACTATCTTAATTACAAAATGTATTTATTATTAATCATAAAGAACACACGTTATTGGTGACCCCGGTAAGTGAACATATGAAAAATAATTGGTTGGCAYGTAATTTTAAATTTCAGTCACTTCTTCAAGACTACTAAAACAGCTAAATGCAAGTTCAAAAATTAGTATAATAAGCTAAAAACATTATATTTAATAATCACTTATAATATTAATTTATCAAAAAGTTAATTTAAATAACTAACTTACTCATTAATCAATTCTTCGACAKTATCTCCATCAACCAAATCATTTGTAGGTATATGTTGGTTTGCTTCATCTACATAATAATCACTGTTGTCCACATTAGTGGTTGTATCTTTAGACAATCTTAAGGATAAAGATAATTAAAGGACAAAGTATATACTCAGTTTACTTACCTAAACTACTCAAAAAATATTAAATATCAATTTTATACTATAAGTTATCCTTTATAAAGATATTTTTTAAAGTATTCAAGTACAGAATACAGATTACAGATATTTATTTTAAAAAGTATCTAAAATACTTATATGAGTACATAAAAAGTATTTGAATACTTTTACTCCAGTACCTTACAACACTATTAAAATATAACTTACAGAACGTTTGTTTTTAAAAAGCTCATATCCGCTGAACTTTCATTACTTAACAAAACTATGTCCTTCCACAACAGTAGGACCCAGAATATCCAAAATTTTTTTTTCTAACTCCGTCAATTCACTGTAATCTACCTCACCATTACCTGTCTTATTCTGTTCTTTTCTAATAATACCTGCTTTTCCTTTTGTATTCGTCTTTAGATTGACGCGGTCCTGCGTAATAGCTGTTTGAATTCAAACGGCCTTTGCGCGGAAACCCGCG